ATAAAACAACTGTAATTCATCTAGAATTGTGCCTTAGGAAGAAATAGACATAGATTTAGAGCTCAGTATAATCTTTTGTGTGGCCAGCAAGAAAAAGGAATCAAAGGAATCAAAGGAAACATCTCTACTAACATTCTAGAAGTAGGGCAGTAACTCAACTGTGAATATGCTTTAAGGAAAGACTCTAAAACTTTTCAGCAAAATGAATCAAATGGACATTAAGAATACACAGAGTTGGGGCTGGAGGGATAGCACAGCGGGTAGGGCATTTGCCTTGCACGCGGCCGACCCAGGTTCGATTCCCAGCATCCCATATGGTCCCCCGAGCACCAGCAGGAGTAATTCCTGAGTGCATGAACCAGGAGTGACTCCAGTGCATCGCCGGGTCCGGTCTGGTCCGGTCCAGTCCTCCCGTTGTTCATCGATTTGCTCGAGCGGGCCCAGTAATGTCTCCATCATGAGACTTGTTGTTACTGTGTTTGGCATAGAGCATCGCCGGGTGTGACCCAAAAAGCAAATAAAAAAAAGAACAAAAAAAAAAGAATACGTAGAGTTGGAACACTGTATGACTGAAAGCCAACCATGAACAACTTGGTAACTGTCTATCTCAAGGTGATTCAATAAAAAAATAAAATGGAAAAAATAGGTACAAATAAGAAAATTACTATTACTATTGGAGCAATAGCACAGTGGTAGTGCGTTTGCCTTGCATGCAGCCAACATGGCCGACCCGAGTTCGATTCCTCCGCCCCTCTCGGAGAGCCCAAGCTACTGAGAGTATCTCGCCTGCACGACAGAGTCTGGCAAGCTACCCGTGATGTATTCGATATGCCAAACACAGTAACAACAAAAGTCTCCAATGGAGACGTTACTGGGCCCGCTCGAGCAAATCCATGAACAACAGGGAGGACAGTGACAGTGATGAAGTTTACTAATTTTCCTGCTTAAAGTATCAGTAATTAATAGCAACATTATTTCAGCCTCTGTGAGGTTTAACCTTTGTTTACAAGAGCATGCAGATGCTTTTTTTTCTGGTTTCTGATTTTACTTATTTTAGGAATCATAATTTACTAGTTTATTGATAGCTGAGCTTCAGGCATATAATGAATGTTCCAGCACCAATCCTATCACTGATGTCAATTTTCCTCCTCCACCAGTGTCCCCAAATCTTCAGTTTAAAATGTCTGGCATGGGGCTGGAGAGCAATACAGGTCAGGTGCTTGCCCTGTGTGCTGCCAATAAAGTTTGATTGCGGTCACCACAGAGGTTTCAAGCCCCAACAAGAGTAACCTCTGTGCTCAAGGATTAAGTTGGGAGTAAGTCCTGAGCACAGCCAGGTGTGTCTCAAAAACCCCAAAATCAATGTTTCTTTTTTTTTTTTTTTTCAAAATCCGGGCCTTGGGAGCTATAAGCTGGTGCAGCAGTAAAACACCTACTTCGAGGGGGCCAAACCGATAGCACAGTGGGTGGGGCGTTTGCCTTGCATGCGGCCAACCCGGTTCGATCCCTAGCATCCCATATGGTCCCCCAAGCACTGCCAGGAGTAATTCCTGAGTGCAAAGCCAGGAGTAACCCCTGAGCATTGCTGGGTGTGACCCAAGAAAGAAAAATCAAAAATAAAATAAATTGGCTTCTTTAAAAAAAAAAAATCTACTTCGAATGTGTGAGGACATGAGCTCAACTCTTGGTGTGATGTGCACTGCACCAAGTGCAATCCTGGCACCTCTGCTGGCTGTGCTCTCTGGCACTACAGTGATCAAGAGAATCCCACTGTGACAGGACCAGCTAGTCTGACCCCGAGGGAGCACTGGGAAGCCCCCATCACTGCAAAAACCGCAACACCGGAAAGGGAAGGAGAAAATAAGATATCAATGAAATGTATCGCTCTTCATCTATATCTGATACAGTTTTGGATTTATGTTGACACATTTTTTTGGTGTTGCTGGGGGTAAGACCAGAATGCCACACATGCAAAACAAATAATTGCTCTTGTCTGATCCATTGCCCCAAGTAGACCGTTTTCAAACTCTTAAGGACTAGAGAAGCGCTGGTTCAATCCCTGGCACCACGTAGCCCAAGTACAGTGAGGTGCAGCTCTGAGCATACCACTGGGTATGAACCACTCCCCAAAAAAAGAAATTCAATTTAAATGAAAGGCTGGAGAGACAGGATAGTGATTATGGCTACGCCTTGTATATGGCTGTTCCCAGTTCACTACCTGGCACCACATCTGACTCCCTGACCAAAGAGCCAGGAGTAAACCCTGAGCACCACAGATGTGGCCCACTACCCTTTCCAAAAACATTTTTTTTAACTGACCATTTTAGGGTCAGAGATAGTTTAATGGAATAGAGTGAATGTTTTGCATGCAAGACGTCTGGGTTCAATCCCTGGCACTGCATAATCCCTCAAACACCCCCAGGAGTGGCCCCTAGCCCTACAGGGGTGTGGCCCCCAAACAGAAACCAAAAACGATTTTTAGTATTGTATCAAATAGACTGTGATGTATGTAAAACATAAAGTCAAGGGGCCAGGGCAAGACCCCACGCTCGATTCCCAATTCCTGGCATCACAGGGTCCTTAATTTCAACCACTGTAATTAGAGCAAGTTCCTAGCACTGACCCAGGAATAGTCCCTGCACATCCACGGTAAGCCCAAAGACAGAAAAATATTTAAAAATAAAGATGAAAGTAGGAGTGGAGGTGAGGATAAAGTTGGGGAAGGAAAACATAGGACAATGGGGGAGGGACAGGTTGCTGCGGGGTGGACAGAAGGGAAACTGGGGATGTTGGTGAAGAGCACTGGGCACTGGTGAAGGAACTAGTGTTGGAACATTGCACATGTGAATATCCTTTTCTAAACTGCATCACTGTGAATTACAAAGTCACAATTTTTTTTTTTTAAATTAGGGCCAGATGCGCATATGTTGCCCGAGCCCCTGTGCTGCTTGCACCCACATTGCTGAGAACATGTGGTACCCCAGCACGTGTCGCCCGCATCGCCCCTCTTGAGATGTGTACTTTCATGCTTTCATGTCTAATGCTAGGATGTGTGGCTCTCTCCACCCTTAGAGAAGTCCGCGTTCTCTCTTGAGTCTCTCTCTCTCTCTCCCCTCCCACCTTAGAAACACTCCAAATAAAATATATTTAATTCAAAAAAAAATAGGGCCAGAGACAGTACAGTGGGAAGGACGTTTGCTTTGCATGTGGCCAACCCAAGTCCCATCCCTGGCATCCCATACGGTTCCCGGAGCACTGCCTAAAGTAATTCCTGAGTGCAGAGCCAGGAGTAACCCCTGAGCATCACCAGATATGACCCAAAAGCATAAAGAAATGTTTAAAAAAAATTAAAACTCAAATATTCCAACCCACCAAAAGAAAAAAAAACACAAAAAAAACCACTTTCTTCCACAAAACCAAAACTCAGGACATTCTGAAAGCAAACAGACTCTGTAGGTGTTCTGTTCACTCCAGGGGCTGAAGCTAGTACAGTGGATAATGAGTACAGAGGGTAAATTTAGAGCACTTGCCTTGCATATATCCAACCTGGGTTTGATACCTGCCATCCCAAAATAAAACACCTGAACTCTTTCCAGTCAGCTAACTTTATTTTATTCATTTATTTTTGGGTTTTGGGCCACACATGGTAGTACACAGGGATTTCTTCTGGCTCTGCACTCAGAAATCACTCCTGGCAGGCTCAGGGTACTATACCGAATACCGGAGATAACCCACATTTGCCCGCTGTACTACTGCTCTGCCCTCCCCAAATGTTAAATTTCATCTCAGCCTTTCTACCCCAACTGACTCTTAGTTCTATGAATGACAGTGTTGGGTTTTTGTTTGATTTGTGAGGGGTGGGGGGAACACACTCAGCGATGCTCATGGATTACTTCCATAACATGGAATGCTATGGGTCAGACACATGCAAGGCAAACACCCTGCCCACCTGTCTGCTGTACGATCTCTCCAGGAATGTGAGTTTTTCTTTTTTTTGGGCCACACCTGGTAGTGCTCAGGGACATCTAGTGGTACTCTAGGGGACCAAATGCACTGCAAGGCAAGCGTCCCTGCACTGTCTCTCCGGCCAAGTTTCATTTCTAACAGTAGTTACATATACATATATATATATATATATATATATATATATGTAATTACAATTGGGTGGCCTAAGTGATGAACCAAGAAATTCGATGAATAATTTCCCTTTGCATTAGCAAACTGGTCAGAGAGAATAAAGTTCAACAGTGGCACTGGGCTTTCTAAAGAAATAATCTCTGACCTACGCACTCAGACAGGCACAGCTGGTCATAATCTATGCCAGTTCAATCAAGTCTTACCCAGGAGTTTTTAGAACAGGAAGTGCGAAAGTTTGTCTATCTCTCCTTTCCCTTTCTTTCTCTGGTAGCTGAAGCAGCAAGATGCAAATATTCGTGGACATTTACCTATTCTACTTCAAGAAAAGAGTCTGCAGTAAGGAAAAAATGGAGTCAAGAGAAACAAAGAGTAAAGACTGAATCCTGGATGGCACCGAGTCACTAACTTGGATGTTGCTATTCTCAACAACTAGAAAACTTTTTGGGGTGGGATAGAAGTGGTGAAAGCACCAATCCCAGAGCAGCCCACAAGCATCACTGGGTAGAGCACGAAAACAAAATAAGCTTGAGTGCATGCTTCACATGCTAGGACCCCAAGTTTGGTCCCTGGCACTGCATATTCCTCCAAGTATCACCCTGAAGGGCCTTAATGAAAACACCAGAAGCAGCACTGAAGAATCTCTGAGTGTGGTGCCAAAAACAAAAGTTCTGGAAGGGAGATAAGATCACTAGGAATTCTACAGGGATTACTGCATTTGCCTTTCACACAGCTGAGCCTGCCTGGAGGCATCACCAGAAATGACCCCTGAGCACAGAGGAGGAGCCCTGACTACTGCCAAGTATGGTCAACAGCCTCCTGGACCCAGAGGATTTCTAAAGTCCCTTCCCATAAAAGCAACTCACCTCAAACTCAGCCACATCTCTGTAAGAAGGAAAGTTTTCGACTACCAAGTACATTAATTTCTGTGCACTTTTTCCACTTTTTCGAACACAATTAAGAAAAGAGCCTTCAAACTTCTCCAGCAGAATTTTCCCAGTTTCATTGAGAATCCGATGCCTCTCTTCTATCAGAGGCATAGGTACTTCTGTGTCGGAGCGCAGCACGTGGCGGACCTGATCCAGAGTCACAGTGGCATAGTACGAAGCACTGGTTATTGGTATTCCTTAGGAAAAGAAAATCCCGAAATGTCAATTATACTCAGTGGATCCCTGTTTATGAAACCCATGGGTCTGAAAGATAGCAGAAAGGGTAGGGGCGCTTGCCTTGCACTTAATAGACCAAGGTTCTAGAGTAACTCCTGGATACACAGCCAGGAGTAAGCCTTGAGTGCTGCTGGGCTCACTAAACAAAAAAATGTAAAAAAGAAACCCTGTGTTAAGGGAAAGGAAGAAAGGATGAATGTGGATGCAGTGTGGGAGGCAGTTCCAAAGCCAAGCCAAGTGCAGCTCCTGAGCTCCACAATACTACCCTGACACTCCACGCCCCCAAAAAAATCAAGGATGAATAAAACGTAAAAGAATAAAAAATGGATGACTCATTTAGAAGTTTGAAGTTGAACCTCATCTATTTGCACATCTCTAACAACTGCAGTATTACATCGGATGTGGTCAACTGCATTCCCTGTTTTACAGTATCCGGCCGCGTTTAGGACAGATATGGCCCTAAGAATGCCATCCAAGTGGCATTCTTCAAAAAGACGTGTGTGCTTGGGGGCAGCCCGTAGGGCGCTTGCCTTGCCTGCAGCTGACCCGGTTTCTATCCCTAGCACCTCATATGCTTGGAGCCCACCACTAGTGATCTCTGAGCACAGAGCCAGGAGTAAGCCCTGAGCACCGAAGATCAAAAGAAAAAAACAAACAACGAATCCGCTTGGCTGGGATGATGATGACAATTTCCTTGGGCACAAGCGTCCATGCAGCCTGCAGGGCGTCTGCCTTTGCCCGCGGCCAGCCCTGGTTTGATCCCGGCACCGATCTGTCACATCCGGCGCTGCCAGGATTCCTGAGTGCAAAACTAGGGCGAACCCCTGAGCATCGCCGGGCGTGGGCCTACAACCGAAACATCCCGTTGTCAACTTCTTCCCGGAGCTGTACTGCTAAGGAGGAGGCCTCGGCCACGGGGAGGCACAGCAAAGGTCGCCGTCTGAGTGTCCGGGACGCGGCTCTGCGCGTCCTCGGGGCCCTCCCGGGCGCGAGCACCGACCTTCGTCCAGGGCCCTGTTGACCGCGGCGCAGAGGGCCCAGTACCCGCTGTACTCTCTTCCCTTGTAGCGCACAAGGCACTTGCGCGCGTCCGGCTCGGTCCAGAAGGAGAAGTTGAGCGTGTCCACCAGGAACACCCAGTTGGCCGCCTCCTCGTCGGCCGCCCGCGGGTTCAGCTCGTGCAGCGCCTTCCAGCCGCCCAGGCTCAGCGCGGGCTCTGCCGCCGCGGCACGCAGCCGCTCCGCCACCCCCCGCACGCCCTCGGCGTCCACCCGCACGTCGCGGCTCCGCTCGGCCACGAGCCGCGCCGACTCCCGGGGGCCGAGGCGCCCGTCCATCCCGTCCAGCGCTCTGGGCTGAGAAGCGGCCCTCCGCACAGCCTGGCGTGGACCAGAGTCCGTCCGGACGCCCCGGGTCCGAACCCGTGCGCGCCTCGCCCTCCCCTTCGGCACTTCCGGGACGGTAACCCCGCCCCTCGGTGGCCCGTGCACGCGCCGGACCCGCTTCCGGCTCTCGAGTCCGGAAGTGGATGGGAGTGTCGGGCGCGCGCACGGCGCGACGGCGCCGCCATCTTGGCCCGCCCTGCCGGGGCCGGAAGGCGCCGACTCGCCGTCGCCCTCCTGGTTGGTTCCAGCCGCGCTGCTCCCTGGTGGCCGCCTCCGGGGCCGTGAGGAACGTGGGGGAACGGCGGGGTCCCCCGACTAGGGAGCGGGCAGAATCTTTTCCGATTTGCGACTTTTCTGGCGCCTGACGAGCCCGGGGCCGTTTCCGGCCGGCCGGGCGTGCGAGGGGGGGGGGGAGATAGGGGGGAGGCGGGACAGGAAGGAGCCCGGTGAGCGCGTTTCCGGCCGGCCGGGCGTGCGGGAGGGGGGGGACTGCTGGGGAGGAGCCGGGTGCGCGCACTTCCGGCCGGCGCGGGGTCCCGCCTGTGCCCGGGAGGCGGCCGGAAGGGTCCGGCCGCGGTCCCCGCGATTCCTCGCACGCCCGGCGTGAAGGCGAGGAAAGTTGGTAGGAATCACAGTCCCGCCCCAGCTGTCAGAAAAGATCCTGCCTGGTCTTTCAATCCGGAATCAAATGGGTGACCCCGGGCTGGCAAAGCACAGGTTGACGCTGTGTCGTCCCCCCCCCCACACACACATTCCCCGATACAGCCGGGTGTGGCCCGAAAACCATAACAAAAATAGTGATCCAAATCTGCCACGTGATGAAATTTGGTATGGGAGCTTGGGTTTTTTTAATTCCTTGAGATTTAAGTCCAAAATCACACCTCTTGGGGCAAGAGCAATAGTACAGCGGGTCTGGGTTCGATTCCCGGCTTCCCATATGGTCTCCTGAGCACCGTCAGGAGTAATTCCTGAGTGCGGAGCCAGGAGGAGCCCCTGTGCACCGCCAGGTGTGACCCAGAAAGCAAAAAATACAAAAAAGAAAAATAACAAAAACAAAATAACACCTCTTTGTGCCTGTGTGTTAGGTGGGCGAGATGGAGCCCAGCGCCTCCTGTAATGCGCTCTGTACCGCCGCCGTGCAGTCCTAGCCCTAAATTGTTCACACCTTTGAATCTCGAGTATTAGAAACTTTTTAAAGCTTTTGTTTGGGGTAGTAGGAGGTTTGGGCCACGCTCCCGGCAGTATTCAGAGTTTACTCCTGGATGTACTTGGGGATCATAGCTAGTGCCAGGGATTAAGTCCAATTTGCTACATGTAAGGCAAGCACTTCTCTCCAATTTTAAAAGTTTTGTTATGTTTTCGGGTGCGGTTTTGTTTGTTTGGAGGCCAACCCAGCAGGCCCTTCGGTGGATCGAACCCAGGTCAACTGTGTTCTAGGCAAACACCTGGGTATTTCTGCCCCAGCCCTTAACCCAAGGCTTTACGAAACTCTTTAAGGGGCCAGAGCAGTAGTACAGTTGGTAGGCCTTTGCCTTACACTTTGTTAAATTGGATTCCATCCCAGGCACCTTATGTGTACCTCTGAGCAGCCCGACCAGCCAGGAATGATCTTTGAGAGCAGAGCTGAAAGTATGCCCTGACCACACCCGGTTGTTCCTGCTCCCCCCAGGGCCCTCCCCCCCCCAAAAAAAAAGAGGGTGAAAATAAAACTCTGGACTAGAGCATATGCCTTGCATTTTGGAGGCCAGGGCTCAATCTCTAGCACTTCATGATTCGAGTACCACTAGAAGCCACCAAGCAACCCCCCAGTACCAAGCCTGAAATGGCTGCTGGACATAGGGTAGGTTCTTCCCAACAAAATGAATGATTTTGGGGGAGGGAGGGAGCACCACACACACCTAGAGACACTCAGGACTTACTGTGCTCAGATACCACTCCTGATGGTGCCTGGGGGACCATATGGGATACAGGAGATGGTACCCTAGTAAGCTGCATGCAAGGCAAGCATCTTACCCGCTGTACTAACACTCCAGGCCCACAAAATGATTCCCTTGCCTTGCAGGTTTCCATCTCCTGCATCCTGTATGGTGCCCTGAGCACAGAGCCAAGAGTAATCCCTAAGCACCTCCAGATACTGCCCAAAACAAACATTTCTAGTTGTTGACAGTAAAAGAACCTTGGAATTTTCAAAGAATTTGGAATTTTGGGGGCTGGAGTGATAGCACAGCGGGTAGGGCCTTTGCCTTGCACATGGCCGACCTGGGTTCGATTCCCAGCATCCTATATGGTCCCCTGAGTACCGCCAGGAGTAACCCCTGTGCATCGCTGAGTGTGACCCAAAAGAGCAAAAAATAAAAAAAGAATTTGGAATTTTTAAGAGACAAATTGTATCCATTAAAGGGAATTATATCTTCATTGCACTAGTTTTTTTTTCCACTGAAAAATAAAATGCCACTTGTTTTGTTTATCTCTGCACCTGGTGGTGCCAGAGGCAATTTCTAACTACTTCTGACTCTGCAGGTGGAGGACCATGGTACCTGGGATCAAACTGGGTCCATCTTATGCAAGACAAGTGCCTTAAGCCCCATACTATTTTAACTGAGTAGGTAGGGGATGTGACTCAATGCCCTTCATGTATAAGGTGCTAAACTTAATGCCTGATACTGCAAAAAGAGAAGGAAAAAAAGACCCCACAAAGTCCAAGAATGTAACACAGTGGTTACATTATCCAGCATAAATTCGAGCATACAAGTACACACAAATAGCAACTACTGTGATTTGCTTTTGTAGAAAAGGCCTGGGCTGGAGCACAGGCACAGCGGTAGGGCATTTGCCTTGCTAGCAACCAGCCCGGCTGAGCCGGGTTCAATTCCTCCGCCCCTCTCCGAGAGCTTGGCAAGCTACCAAGAGTATCTCGCCCACATGGCAAAGCCTGGCAAGCTACCCGTGATGTATTCAATATGCCAAACACAGTAACAACAAGTCTCATGATGGAGACGTTACTGGGCCCACTCAGCAAACAATGGGAGGACAGTGCTACAGAAAAGGCCTATGAGGTGCTATTAGAGTTGTTGAATAAATGCAAATCTGCTGCCTCAGGAACTATTTCCTGACTATTCTACAAACTATTGAATTTTGAGAGTCAAATAAATTGATTAGGGGCCGGAGCGATAGCACAGTGGGTAGGGCATTTGCTTTGCATGCGGCCAACCTGGGATCAATCTCCGGCATCCCATATGGTCCCCCGAGCACCGCCAGGAGTAACTCCTGAGTGCAGAACCAGAAGTAACCTCTGAGCATCACCGGGTGTCACCCAAAAAAATAAATTGATTAACAAGTAAATGTAGAAAACTACAAAAAAGATTTAACCATTTAAGTCACTTTCTCTTTGCGATACCAGGGATCAAACCCTCACACTTTCAGGGCTTGCTGGCCGTTTTCTTTAAGGCTTGTTGACAGGAATAAAAACTTGAATTTCTACTCTTAAGGATATTTAGATCTAGGTAGGACCAATATAATAGTAAAACACTTCCTTTTTTCAAGCAACTTACTTAGATATAGCATAAACATTATGTGTAATGTATTCATGTCCACGAAATGCTTGAAATATAAAAATCCTGAGTGCAGAGCCAGAAGTAACCCTGCACTATGATTTGGTCCCCCAAACAACAAACAAACACAAAAAGTTTACTTCCTGTCTTCCTTCCCAACAGAATCCTCACATTCACTAGTACTTCCCTTTTACCCTGTTCTTAGTCTTCTCAGCCCCAGATATTGTCTGGGTTGATCTAAGAGTACTATTATCTTGTGCTGTAACTGAATTAGTATCATGCACATTCACCAGTTAACCTCAGTGAGTTGTAGGAAAATTCTTAGGGAAACATTTAGAAAAGGCTTTTTCAGGAGTACTTTCAGAAGTGATTCACACTTACTCTGGATATGGCTCAGTCTGGATATTAAACTTGAAATTGTTTCCTTTGGACATGGTTACTTGGATATAAGACTTGAAATTATGGTTGTCCTTTTGGCAAAATATGGTGGGTATTTCAAAATAAAGAAATGGATTTGGAATAGAATTATCCCAGCTCAAGTCTACCCTACCTTTGGATATTCAGTTTTATGAGTTAAAAAGCTTTCTTATAATTTAAAGTTTGAGCTGGGACTTCTTTTTGTTTTGTTGTTTTGAAGCCACATCTGGCAGTACACAGGGCTTACTCCTGGCTTTGCACTCAGAGATTACTCCTGACAGTGCTCAGGGGACCATATAGGATTCCGGGAATTAAACCAGGGTCAGAGGCATGGAAGGCAGTCACCTTATCTGCTGTACTATTTCTCTGGCCCTATGTTGGGGTTTCTATTGATATGAAAGCTCTCTGTCGTACACAGGGAGAAAATACAGATAAGACATTGACATTTGCCCTCTGGTGAATAAAACAGAGAAGTGTCTAGAAAGGCTTATGCATCAATCAACAGAAAATGAGATACTTATTACTGAAAAGCAGTTTTTCTCTCATCCTCACAGTCAGGTAGTTTTAGGGATTCAGAGTGCAAGCCTCACCCTCACATGTTTAAGAACCTGACTTCTCAGCACTCACCAACTGCCTTTGCTAGGTGTGGCCATGTTGGCCCCCAGAATCACTGAGCTCACTGAGTGTTTCAGTGCTGGGTCTAAGAATTGCGTGTCCAGGGGCTGGAGCGATAGCACAGCGGGGAGGGCGTTTGCCTTGTACGCAGCCGACCCAGGTTCGATCCCCAGCATCCCATATGGTCCCCTGAGCACCGCCAGGAGTAATTCCTGAGTGCAGAGCCAGGAATAATTCCTGAGTGCAGAGCCAGGAGTAACCCCTGTGCATCGCTGGGTGTGACCCAAAAAGCAAAAAAAAAAAAAAAAAAAAAAGAATTGCGTGTCCTGCCCAAGTTGACTGAGAATCCTTGGGAGTAATTCCTGGGCCTCCTGCACACTATTGGGAGGCCAAAAAAAAAAAAAAAAAAGGAAAGAGGCGAGCACTCCATG